AATAAATAATAAAAAAAAATATAATAATAAAAAGAAAGTATATGTAACTACTAACTTCTTGTTAAATGGCAGTATATATTTCAACTAAATCAGGTCAGAGAATTGGGGGGCATATCATCTGCTGATGGCTCCCCCATAACTCGCAAAATGAAAAAAAAAAAAAATAGAGTTCACGCGCATTCATCCAAAGAAATTATTTTGACCTGGTCGGCGCCTGTACATTGTATTGTGTTATACCCCAGACAACCGGAACTCAATCTTAGTTAACGATCGACGCTAGGCTAACAGAACAGGCCACAGCACCAAGGTAAAAATTCTAGACACATTCTTTTATAAGCTTAATACAAATAATTTGTTAAGGTCAGACGGACCAACGTGTTGCTCGTAATATCGATAGTAATTTAAATAACAAATTTTTGTGTTTCTGGAGAATGTTTTTTATTAAATAAGTGAAACGACTTTTCAATTAAAATACAACCATAGTATTTAGTGTTGTTTATGTGAACTTCATAAAAGTTTTTAATTATATTTGTATCCAACTTTCTTGAAAATGTTATCGAAAACATTTTATACGTAAGTACGTCTTATTATATTCTTTGTAAAATATCTTAACTTCACGGTCATACAAGAGTGCACTTAATAAGGATATCAAGTAATGTATATTGCTTTAAAAACCTATGGCCATTGTTTTACATTTTTTTGTTTCACTTAGAATTAAAAGTATATCTTAATCGTAAATAAGAAAATGTAAAAAAATTGTTTGAAAGTAGAAATATATTTTTATTAAAATACTTGAAGCACTAACAAAATATTAAGAAATTTAATTTTTTTAAGGATTTGATTCGGTATTGTTTAAGGAAGCATGGTTTCCGAAAAATTGATATTGAGAACAGATAAACTAGCATTGTGCAAACTCTCTACTGCAGAAAATTGTACAGTTAATTTTGTTTATTCCACATTTTTACTCGTACTTTCGACCTCACACGAGTTTAGTCTTGATATTACTGTTTCAGCTGAGGCCTAATTACACCTCACCTTCTTTTGTGTTTATGGTAGTGACATTGAACTCACTGGAATGCTATTTCTTTATGGGTGCAAGGTAAAATACCTCTAATCGAGCTTATAAAGGCATACTGAAAAAAACAGGTTGGGATGGGGCTCAGCAGTGTGTGGACTAAAAACTACCTGAAACGTGACTTGAAGATGATGTGATGTTAAAACATAGAACTTGGTTGGATTATGCTATCTTAATTTTCGTTTATGAAAGACTACTTTAAAAGTAGAGGATATAGTTATTTCTGTAAATTAATTATATATTTTTTCAAATTCATAGAATTCTGAAAACAATGGAAACATGTTTAATAAACACACAATATTTGGATTAAGAACTTGGGAAAAAATACTTTAAAATATTTGATGATATTTCAAGCTTTCTTTTTCTAATAGTTGAAATGTTTCCGTACGAAAGCAATTAAAAAGGTCCTTTACGAGAAAGTGGATTGACTTTTAGAAGCAATGGCGAAACAGAAAAAGATTTTAAGAAGCTTTGAGTCGAATGACCCCTTAGACCATTATATCACAGAGATTTCTTTTCGAATGACTCCTGCTCAGAAGAAGCTGTATGAAGTAAGTATTAGACAGTGTCGAAAGTACGTACCTAAGGACGATCTGTTATTGATATCATTTGATAGTTCTTTTTTGTTGAATGTTAACCGACTTGTCTTAAATGGTCAAGAGTTTGACATCTCTGGGTTAAGCTTTTGAGAGTTTTACTTTCACGTGCGAAAGATTATTTCAGGTATTTCGGGGGAGGTTATGGTGATCGAACATCAATCGCTAACATTGCTAATATTAATCATCTGCATCTAATTACTAATTACAAACTATTTTTTTCTTAAAACTAGATTTTGATTAGTAACTAGTTTTTCTCGTACGTTTCAAATGGGGGGAAAAAAAGAAGATAAAAGAAGCCTTCTACGACCACATAACTCATAACACAGTAAACCATATATAGTAATCACCAATACCTAACACTCCTCTTGTAAATATTGTTACGTCTCCGTTCGTAATTTAATTTTTCGTAAATTCGTTCCGACGAAACTTTAGCGACACAAGTTCTTTCTTAAATAAAACTGGTTTATTCTTTCTGAATATAA